GGTTTGGGTCTCTGGGGGCCTGGGCGTCATCCACTGGGCTGCAGGAGGGTTGGGCCTCAGGCAGGTAGTTTGGGCCTCAGACTGGTGGTTTGGGCCTCGGGCGGGAGTTTTGGGCCTCAGGGGGCCTGGGTATCAGCAGCTGGGCATCGGGCGGCTTTGGCCTCAGTGGGCGGGTTGTGCGGATTGGGCCTTGGGGACAGGGTTGAGGGCGGGCTGGGTCTCAGGGGCACTGGGCCTTGGCTACAGGGCTATGCGGTGGTTTGGGCCTTGGAGGCCCTGGACTTAGGAGGCTTGGCAGGGGGCTGGTCTAGGCAGGGGCAGTAGAGGGCTGGGCATAATGGCTGCAGGGAGGTAGTGTCTGTATTTGATGATGTAAAAGATGCCTCTCTCAGTCTCTCTGTACCGTGGGTACCCCGAATTTCCTGATATCCGTGCCGATATCCCTATTTGTTCGGCTTTGTTAGTTTATACTTCCTTTTCTCCAGAAATACAGTCTTCTAAGTGGGGTTGTTCTAGCCCTGCATTCCAAGGTCTGCAGGGGGCAGAGGCACTCTCAGGAGTGTACGTGCGGCGGGGAGCCTCGTGTAGGCAGGCAAAAACTCAAAATGCCTATAATTCCTCAGTAATTTGATTTTTTAAAAATACGAGTTCAGAATGTTGAAATATAAGATCTTGTTTGTTCAAAGGCTGTCTGCTAGAGAGAGGTTTCCTATGTGCAATTGCCCTCCTTTTCCCCAGACTGTCCTACCTGAGCTGCCTGGTCAGGGAAGCCCCAGAAGTCCTCTCTCAACAGTTATGGTTTTGTAGTTAGTAACACAGGTAAACATCCTTGTGATAGTCTCTGTCATGAGCTGACATTAGCAATGATTCTCTCATCCCACATCCTTTTCTGCATATCATCAATTACTGGAAACGCCTTGTTTTTGTGTTGCTACAATTGCTTTTGTACTATTTTCGCCAAAATCCTATTTGCACATCCTGCTGGAACACCTTTCTTTGAAATGGGCACAAATATGTATGCAAGGTAACACACTACAAGAACCTGAAATGAGTAGTGGCTTAGCATATACATCTTGCTATCTAAATTCCTTTTAGGGAACAGCGAAGGTGGGTTGTTCAGCTTTTGTGTTACCCCTCTTTTGATTTCTTTCATTAGTATTCATATTCAGTTAACACTGTCAGGATTCCACCCAAATGTTCAGTAAAATGCATGGATTTCTAAATGGCACTGACTGCTAAGCACACAACACACACACATTTGGAGTTCCAGTGGGCTTTTATTGAGATAAATTAACAAAAACCAAGATTTTACCAACCATCTTTCCCAAACCATACAAACTCAGTGAATACTGGTCCATATACATGTACATACACACATCCCAACAAAAACAGAACCCCACTGGAACATTTGCCAATGAACATAAAGCCAATTTTCCCCTTCCCAAATGTCTTCAAATTTGTGAGTTCCCACTGCTTACTTCTCAGTGGAATTGATCCCTTGTGGCTAGGGATACTAGAATTTTCTCCCATTTTTAAGGAACAAAAAGTTTGTTTCATTTTTGTTTCAATAAAGGGAACAGTGACATTTTCTCCAGGAACCCCTCCCCAACAACCACTGGTTAAGATACAGTAGTCTGTATCTTAATACCCCACCCATACCCCTCCCTTGTCCTACCCAGCATTGTCTACTGGAGAATTTAAATACACTTCTGTTGGAAACTGTCTGCTGCGGAGGGGCAGAGTCCAGGTGCCAGGTTAGCTCCTTCTAAACTCATGAACTGCTATAACCTTTGGACACTTACTCCTTAACCCAAAGAAGAGTTTTTAGATTAGAGAGTGGATTTTCTCTGGGAGTTAAAAAAAAAAAAAAAAAAAAAGTACCTTTAAGGATAAAGCAGAACTAAAAGTTCACCAAAGTCCACTTACATTTATTAAAAAGCTTGTTTACTTCAGGTCCCATGAGGCTAATAATTCTGCTTCACAAAGGTATTTTGTCAGAAAATTCTGTAACAAGTTTTAAGATATAATGTCGAAACAAGTAGCAAATTAAAATAACAAGGCTTAATTCTGAAGAACATTTCATCTTTTTTGTTACTCATCTATAAGGTCAGGAGTATGGCTAAAGGCAGTTTCTGATGAGATTATGAGCTTTCAAAGTGTTTCTAAATCCCTACTGCAGACACCCTCCCTTTTGGGGCACAGTACCCTCCCACCCACCCCTATTAAAAAAAAAAAAAAAAAAAAATTAAACCAAGTGATCAGAATGAGATGTTTTGATTCCAACAATTGACTCAAAGCTTTGTGCATAATTGTTTCTAACCCAAGCATGATGGTCTCATACACAAAGCGCATGGCAAAGGAAAGATGCTCCCATCTCATTCTGAAAACAAGTGTTAATAACAAATCCACCCCCACCCCTAAGCCTTTGGGGTCAACCCTTTTTATGATGCTGGGACCAACTTGAAAATAATTTAGAGACATATTTAGGTTTCCTCTTCCTTACTTCTCTCCATAAAACATCATTTTAGAATCAATTTATTCCATTCCTAAGGAAGAGAAAGAACCTCTCCACGTGTAAACTTGTGGGGAAAGGCAAAAACATAAGCCAAGAGGCATTACGTAATAGCCCATTATAACCCATTATACAATGATACAACCATAGGCCAAACCAAGCATTGGATATAATTTAAATATCACCAATAGGGGTAGGTCCAAATGGACCACTGGAGAAATATATA